TCAGTAAAGAAAGAAATAGAACATTAGTGTTGCTGAAAATAAGGGTAGTATATCAAGAACACATTAGGTTCAATTCAGAGCAACTTCTTCCCCCAATCCCCAATTCTACCGCTCCCCTCAACTCTTGGATGCAAAAACAGGCAGAAACCATCAAGATATTGATGTGACCAGGACTGAGTGATCAGCCGACCCTGTCAAGAAGATGGGCAACGTCGGATGCCAGTCCACTGTTGTTATAGGTCCACTGTGAGAAAGAGTTCTCATTCCATTCATATGACCTTGAACCTGTCAACAGGAAAGGGAAGCTAAATCATGGAGTCCTCTGTTATAGAACCACAAAAGAAGAACATATTTTGAGTAACAAAAAGGCTATTATTTTGGAAGTAAATCTCACCTTTTTTCAAACCAACTTATTTTGAAATTTGACCAATGAAATAAATTATTTACAACAAAACTTACCCATATACTTGTATGTAAAGCTTTTAAGCTTGGGAAAAATATGCTCGATATGTTGCCAGCAAAGAAACAAAGCTAGTTATGTTCAACTGTGCAAGTAGCGAAAGATTTACCTGGTATATGGGTGCACTTAATGAATTAGATGTCACCAGAAGTCTTCTCCCTTTAGCATCTAATGCCATTTCATGTTTAAACTGTGATGAATTCTCAGGGTCATAGAATCTACAAAAACAAACAGATTAGAATAGACTACACGTTTGTCACAGGTTATGTCAGCTAAAATTCTTTAGTCGCCAAACCAAACTATGTTGCGAGATTATTTCAATTATCAACGGTCAGTTTTCTGCCAAAACAGATCCAATAATCATCGTAGAGTAATCTTAAGACGCATCAACAGGGCCTAAGAAACCAATTTCCTCACAACACAATGTGTGCGCATGTGGGTCATTGCATAAAAGTGCTAATTCAATGTAGTATAATGGACACTATTAAAAAAAATGGGGAAGAGAGAGAGGAAAAAGAAAAAGAGAAGTAACTTCCTACATGTTGCAATTTCTTGACCAAAGAATTTTGCCTTGACTTTGCAAGCTCCATTCAATTATCTGTTACACCCAGTACAAAGTTAGATTCACTAAATGCAGAATGCCAATTTCGTCAGGCGTAGAAAGGGGACTCAATGTATAATTGATCGTTGCTAAAACTTATTGCCTTTCCATCAGTGCCCAAGCTAAAGATACTGGTCTCGTCAGGCCCAAAAAGAACAGAACCAATCGCCAAATCATGAGCAGGCCACCCAGTTACTTGCAGGCCAGCAGACATATCTTTCTCTAGTTAAGGCATATATGTTTGTTCATAAATCTGAAATTATTACAGCTGTGATTGATGTGTGAACTATTCCATTCTGCTGAAGACTAAAAGGGATACCAAACATATGAATCATGCCATCAGTTGCAGCAGCTGCTAAAAGCTTTCCGTTGTGATTAAAACACAGTGAAGTAATTGCCGGTGGATCTTTACCGAGTGGAAGCACTGCCTTGAATAAAAATGAAAGGAATTAAGGCCTCGTAAACTCTTTATCCAGAAAGATAAAAAATGGAAAAAGTTTAGAGCAAAAGGACTTCTGCATTCACAAACAAATTTCTGCAACACTTAAACACGTACCATGGCCTTCCAGGTCCTCATATTCCATACAGTTAATGATGCGAAGCCAAGTTTATCGTAATAACTCCTGCCCTGCCTGCAAATATAGTCGAAGGTTTTTATGGCATGAACAGAGAATAATAGACATTGTGCATAGGATTTTTTCCATAAAAAAATATGCTCGATATGTTGCCAGCAAAGAAACAAAGCTAGTTATGTTCAACTGTGCAAGTAGCGAAAGATTTACCTGGTATATGGGTGCACTTAATGAATTAGATGTCACCAGAAGTCTTCTCCCTTTAGCATCTAATGCCATTTCATGTTTAAACTGTGATGAATTCTCAGGGTCATAGAATCTACAAAAACAAACAGATTAGAATAGACTACACGTTTGTCACAGGTTATGTCAGCTAAAATTCTTTAGTCGCCAAACCAAACTATGTTGCGAGATTATTTCAATTATCAACGGTCAGTTTTCTGCCAAAACAGATCCAATAATCATCGTAGAGTAATCTTAAGACGCATCAACAGGGCCTAAGAAACCAATTTCCTCACAACACAATGTGTGCGCATGTGGGTCATTGCATAAAAGTGCTAATTCAATGTAGTATAATGGACACTATTAAAAAAAATGGGGAAGAGAGAGAGGAAAAAGAAAAAGAGAAGTAACTTCCTACATGTTGCAATTTCTTGACCAAAGAATTTTGCCTTGACTTTGCAAGCTCCATTCAATTATCTGTTACACCCAGTACAAAGTTAGATTCACTAAATGCAGAATGCCAATTTCGTCAGGCGTAGAAAGGGGACTCAATGTATAATTGATCGTTGCTAAAACTTATTGCCTTTCCATCAGTGCCCAAGCTAAAGATACTGGTCTCGTCAGGCCCAAAAAGAACAGAACCAATCGCCAAATCATGAGCAGGCCACCCAGTTACTTGCAGGCCAGCAGACATATCTTTCTCTAGTTAAGGCATATATGTTTGTTCATAAATCTGAAATTATTACAGCTGTGATTGATGTGTGAACTATTCCATTCTGCTGAAGACTAAAAGGGATACCAAACATATGAATCATGCCATCAGTTGCAGCAGCTGCTAAAAGCTTTCCGTTGTGATTAAAACACAGTGAAGTAATTGCCGGTGGATCTTTACCGAGTGGAAGCACTGCCTTGAATAAAAATGAAAGGAATTAAGGCCTCGTAAACTCTTTATCCAGAAAGATAAAAAATGGAAAAAGTTTAGAGCAAAAGGACTTCTGCATTCACAAACAAATTTCTGCAACACTTAGCCACGTACCATGGCCTTCCAGGTCCTCATATTCCATACGGTTAATGATGCAAAGCCAAGTTTATCGTAATAACTCCTGCCCTGCCTGCAAATATAGTGGAAGGTTTTTATGGCATGAACAGAGAATAATAGACATTGTGCATAGGATTTTTTCCATAACAAGAGGAACTGCAAGAGTCACTATTCATTGGGTTGGCATCTTGATCAACAGCATATATGCCACTAAAGTAAATAAAATCAGACAGCCTAAACATTGGAGCCATCATAACAGATCCATTATTATACTTGTATACAAGTGCTGCTGACTTTACCTTCTGGATGCTGCTGCAGAAACAAAGATCGGTTCCACGGGGCTGCATTTCAGGTCCAATACACTGAATGATAAAATTACAAGTAAAAAACCACAAAAGGTAAGTGAAACATGGCCCATAAGTTCATTCTTCCCAGGCTAATGCTGGAAGAAGGGTAAGCAAGGAGGAGAAAGGGGAAGAGTGTGAGAGAAAGAGAGAGAAGACAGACTAGAAGGACAAAGAAGAACATGAGAAGTGAGAACCTTGGGTATGCTTCAGCTGAGTTGAGATCACAAACAACTCGTTTTGCATCAACATTCCATGCTTTAATGCCTCCATCAGCAGTGCCTATGAGTAGCTTTAGTCAAATAAACAATCAAATGCATATTAAATGTTAGATAATCAATACATAATTCTATAAATCGTGACAATATTATCATCTTTGCATGTAAAATTGTAACACCCAGTGACATACCAAACGATCCGACTTGCAGTCCCACTCAAGAGACGTGATCTCTGCTCCACAATAGATGGTTGCATTTTTAGACGCTGTTGCTGATGCATCGTATGTCCATATCCTTCATTAAACACATGGAATCAATAAAGAGAAGAAGATCAAAGAGTTTGTTACTCTTCTAAAATCACCAACTTGGAGTTGAAGTGAGCTACAACTTTATCAAATGTAAGCCTAGGGTTTCTTGGAGTACATTGCCACCTCTAACCACTATATACCTGACAGTGCCATCCATAGAAGCACTTGCAATATTGTCTCCAGTTGCAGAAAATCGACAACAACTGATTGGACTTGTGTGGCCCAGAAATGTGTCCTGCAAATGAAAGATGCTACAAATTTAAGTGAAAAAATAATAAGCAAGTAGTAAAGTTGCAAAAAGGTCTTATAAGAGGCAAAATAAAGGAATAAAAATATTTCTTAAAAATTAAAATTTAGGAACTCATTATGGTTTTTAACCTAGAAAACTTTACCTGGAAAACTGCTTTCACTTCTGGAAACCTTTCTTCTCCTTGTACATTTGAGCCAATTTCTGGAACCCATAATTTATAGTCACTATATCAAATTCCTTCATGACCAATAACATCGTGGAGTTCAAAACAAATTAAGGCCATCTTATTCCAAACTCTTGCATTCAAACAAATAACCAACCAGTCACTCGAGACATCTCTATGACAAACTATAATACGATTATGATCAAGCACCTCATAGAAACTCTTGATTGGTTATGACAATCAAACTCAAGCAACTACTCTACCTATATATAGTAAATCATCCCATAATACATTCTACTGGCCTTCAAACCATTACAGGTACTTCTTCCAAACATTGAAAGTTTGATCCTTGATTAGAAGAGCTTTTAGAAAAGATATATAGGTCAATTAACTTCATTGTTATCAAAGAAATTTCCATCTAAGCGAAAAAGCTACATATGTAGGTCACTTTCTTAACTTGTCCCATTTGTAGAAGGAAAAAAAAAAATTATAATAAACTTACCAACAACAGAATCACTTTGGAACATATGGTAGGCATCACTTCTCCTACCCTCACCAGGGTGGTCATTAGTATGAGCCCTAGAAGCATGAGATTCTGCAAGCTGAGCATCATCTTGGTTCTGGAATGATTCCCTTCCATCTACGAGTGAAGTGTCATGGACAAGAACATTATCTGAAAAATGAGAAGGAAATATGGCCTCATCTGCAGCACCAGCTACAGAATGAGAGAAGTTGCCCATTCCAGGGCCTCCCACTTCCCTTACTGAAGAAGCACCACTGATGTAAAACATCGAAGTTAGCGAGAATTAGATTCCATATAGCATTGAATATCAAAGAAGCTCACCTCCTTGAATTACACAACTGTGCCTCTTTCTCCTCCAACAAACTCTGAAGTTGTGATAACTTGAGATTAAGTTTTTTATTCTCTTTCATCAGACGGTTCACAGAATTCCTTTCAGAACTTATCTTCAATAAAGCAGGGATGCGTAGATTAGCTAAGGATAACATTAAAAGAGTCCATCTATTCTGGAAATAATTTTATGTAGCAAAGTTAAGAATTCCATGTGTTTATAAGTTGTCAACAGCCTCCGAATGGAAGAAATGAATTGGAAAGGCTATAGCCAAATGAAGCCCCTGCCTAACATGAAGCTAGATCAAAGTTTTCTCCTTAACAGTTAATTCCTATAATAGTCTCAAAATAACAACTAGATGAAATCCTCCGATCCCTTTTAACATTATTGGGAAAAAAGAAGAAGAGAAAGGTATTTCTTATAACTTCGATTAAAAAGAAATCTTGGTAGTGAGTAGAGACAGTCATTAACACCATTCAAATGGAAACTTTAAAAAAATCAATGTTTCAGGTGATTGCAAAATATGTCGAACAGCAATGCTAGACAAATATTTGCATTCCATGTGGTCAAACTCGATCAAGTTAAGGGGATATATTCTGGATAAATAAACATAAAAAACCCCCGACCCCCTCTCTCTTCCTTTCTCCAGTATAGGAGGATCAAAGCAATGCAGAACCTTAAGCAGACTAATGAACATATGTTAAATAAAATTGAATTAAAAGCATCATGCTGTCATAGACAAGGAAAAACTTCAAATAATTCAGGGAATTCTTCACCCGGAGAAACTCCTGCCATGACAATATCAAGTCAAACTAACAAAAGAGATGCCACGTTAAACGAATAAATGAAAATGTAGCAGTTTATATTCAAGGATATGAGTGCCATTAAAGATCTCACNGAAATTGATGATTCACGGTAAAAATTAGGAGTTAAATTTCATCTTGATTCAATTCCGATCGTGGGCACAATCTTCTTCATTTTATTTATTTATTTTTTAACAGACAACCCTACAGTGTTGGTGTGTTGACAAGTGCAAGTTGTGCACTTACTCGCCAGGGCGCATAAAGGTTGAACCGAACGTTGAGCTCTCACCGCTCCGTCCGTATAGCTTTGTGACTTGTGAAGGAGGTAAATCACGGGATGTGCTTCAGTAGGTCAACGAATAAGAGCTGTCTGTACACTGCGCCTATAAGGAGTCCAACTTCATGTTTTAAGAATCGAACCCCCACATTACTGTTGCCAACAAGGTGTGAGATAACCTCACTCCTGTCCTTTGCACAACTGGACTATGCTCCAGGGGCTTCGCTTAGGCTGTATTACCGAATTTTTATGTTACTAATTCATTAATTTCTATTTAATTTGAATTAATTTTATTTTGTTTTTAGTGATAGATTTGTTCGGAATAACTGAAAAAGAATGAAGAACAAATTGGCCGTTGGATGGAAAGTCCGCGAATCAACTTCTATACATTTAAAATTTAAGGACTTGAATTGAATCGAAGAAAGATATTGGTTGCATAATTAATTTGGTTCAAGGATTCAATTGTATGATTTTAAAATAATTGGCTTAGAGAGAAAAAAAGTTCCAGAAAATCGAGGCGATTAGGCTCGGCTCGGCTCAGTAAGGACCGAGTCCAAAGCCTGGGTTGAGTCTTAATTTTTTGGCTGAGCAAAACGGCTCGAACCAAAAAAAGCTCACCTTAAAACAGTCTGAGCAGAGCTCGAGTTAGGAATTTCGACTCGCGAGCCGACTCGACTTGTTGATATCCTTATGCATAGGAGAAAAAAGAGGAGGTTGCTTTGAGCTGAATTTATATACATATACATCTACGTGCACAGGGCACGTAGAAAATTGGAGGGGAGAAAATTGGAGATGAGATACACGTTGAGAAATAAAGGCAGCCAACTAGGGAATTATTTATCACACAGAAACTGAGGGGGAAAAGGGCTGTAGGGTGTTGAATTATATATATATATATATATATAGTTGGTTGGAATTGGATATACACACACAATTGAGCAGCTATTTTGAGGAGAAGAAAAAGCTGGTTGCTATTGGAGAAAACACAGATTTATATACACATTGAAAGTCGGTTGAATTGAAGAAATATATATGCATAGAAGTTGGTGGTTGTAGGAGAAATACAAACATACACGTGCAAAGTCGAGAAAATCTGTGGAATTAACCAAGTTTCATCAATTTCTGGGTGATGTCGTCTAAACTTTCTCTATTTAATTCCAATATTATGCAAGTCTAATTCCACTCATGTATTGGATGAAGATGAAACTCTTTATTATTTATTTTTAATTCAAGTTGAATTTTTGCGATTTTTGATTAATCTTGTATATTTAATTTTATTATTTGATTGCTTGATTATTAATTGAATATATCGTTGGTTGTTGTAGTGTTGGAAAACTCACAATATGCTTAAAACAATGCTTGATTAACATGTGTGCGATAAAATTTAGGAATAATATTTTATAACGTGTGCAATTTTTGAGATAATTGTGAAATTGAATGCGTTCTGGTCATTCGAATTCAGATTAGGAATATATTGGGTCATGATTAAGATATATTTAATTTGTCTTGAAAAAAAAATTTAATTACAATAGAATTATCGATTGTCAAGAATGCAAGCACGAAACTAGTTGCATAGTTGATAATTTGAATAAATAATAATAGGTGGATTCATAATGCAATACACTCTTCTCATACATATTAAATTCGCATTTTACAAGCTCTCGTAAATTAAGTTAGATTAATTAAAAATCACAAATCACTTTTTTTTGGTTTACTTTGAATCTAATTAAATACTAGTACACTTAATTAATTTTTATTCCTCGTGGGACAATACTCTCAAGTCACTAAATTTATTACTTGTCAATGATTCTGTACACTTGCGGGTTTCACAAGAATAAGTTTTTGATGCCGTTGTCGAGGAATAATTTATGTAATTTTACTTTACTAGTTTTTTTTAGATTTGAATTTTTTTTTTCTTTTTTTCCCTTTACTTTAGTTGTTTTAGGCTATTCATTGAATGATTTAAGTCTCTCATTTTACTCTTTTCAAGAAATCATAGTTTTTGTAAAATTTTGACGAGATCGTGCTTCTTCCGATAGATCCCAAAATTGAAAGAACTTTCAGACAACGAAGAAGAGAGCAGAGATAAGGGAGAGAAGTGGCAGAAAATTAACATCAGAATCAGGTTCAGAACCCCTTGCCATTGCCTCAATCAATTCAGCTAGATCAGTCGAGGACAGTAATGAATCATGGAGAAGCTTTAGTGAGGGATTATGTAAATCCCGTGCCAGATCCTATGCAACCGGCTATTATATATCCACATTTTTGCCAAGCCAACTTCCATATTAAACCTGACATCATCAATTTATTTCAGAATCATTAAGATATTAGGTTCACTGGGAGATCAACAAAAAATCCTCATGAACATATTCAAGCCTTTTTGATGCTTTGCGATATGATCAGTCACGAAGAATGTCTTTGGATGCTGTTCGATTGCGCTTATTTCCTTTCATGTTAAAGGAGGGCGCACGGGAATGGTTAAATTATCTAATTCCGAGGAGTATCATTTCGTGGAATGACATGGTGCAAAAGTTTACGCTGAAATTTTTCCCACCATCTCAAGTCCATCATATCAGAAATGAAGTCCATACTTTTAAGCAAAATGACCTTGAGTTATCCAAAAGCATGGGAAAGATTCAAAGATTATTTCAGAAAGTGCCGTACTCTAAATATCTTTAAAAAATCAAAGATCTGCATATTTTATTTCGGCCTGAGACTTGAATTTCACAATATTGCCGATGCTTCTATAGGAGGGTTGATATTGGATATTCCTTTGGATAATGCTTTGTACCTTTTTGAGTGAATTGCATAAAATCAATTCATGTGGCCAATAGACAGGAAAGTACCAAGGAGGATGGCAGGATTACGCAACGTTGACTAACTACATCATTAGTAGCCCAAATAGAAGCACTGAGAAAGAAATTGGATAGCCTTACTCAAAATGTGAACATTGTACACCAGCCAAAATTGGTTTGCTAAGGGTACCGGGCAGATCATATTATAGAAAAATGTCATTTAGCCTCTACACACGTAATTCGGAGGAGTTTAATTATACTTAGAACTTTCAGAGGCAACATGACAACCCTACCCAACAAATATAATCCGGGTTGGAGAAACCATCCAAATTTGTCATGGGCTAATAATCAAGGTCAATGAGGAAATTTTCGAACTAAACAGCTAGGGTTCCAATAACAACAGCAACAATAATAGAGGCTACTTACTTCGAGTTTTTGCTAGAATTTTATGAAAGGAGTTGACGTCCCTATTTTCCGAAGCTCTTTGGCTTGTTATATATGTAGACATATTTTTCTAAGGCAAGATGGTTGATCTTATCACCCAAGCCGAAGCCTGTCACTTTTCTTTTCATGAGGCTGAGCTGACGAATTGATTTTCTTTTCATAAGGCTGAGCTAACGGCTCAAGCATGGTCTTCTTTTACAATTAGTCAAATGGGACTTGCATTTTTGTGGGGTGGCCACTATGGGGTCCTACCTTATCATTTTTTGTACGAGGACAATACTGTCGAAGTGGTTTCTTCTTCACTTTTTCTTTGAACAGACTTTTTTTCCAAATACATTGTATTGTTTTTTTTTGAGGCTATACATGAGGTGGGGCTATACCCTCTTCGCCCTATTCTGACCCTAATCTTTTTGCTTCTTTGAATGGGGTCGAAGTTTTTAGCCCATTAACGATAGAAGGGTTAGCCTTAACTTTTTAAGCCAAAGTTTCAGCAGATAATATAATTATATGAAGCTTATGCATGAGCTGCTTTAGCTCTGCTTTGATGGAGCTATGAAGCCTGGCTTGGCAACGGAGTGCTTTAAGGTATCCTCTATTAAGAAGGTAATATCTGAATGCTCTGGCTCACTCCCTTAGGCATAACGTCTCCTTCCCCACAAGGGCCATTTTTGGAATTTCCATCCTTGAGCTACCTTTCTCAACAGGGATGGAGATGATCGCAAGTTGCACTTTTTTCACTGTTGATCTGTTGAGGGGTCGACTCTTATTGGCTAACGTTATAGAGCCTAACTCGACAATTATATGCCTTAGCATCTCTTTTCACAAGAGGATTCAGCTTGAGATGGCTAAAATTAGAGCTCATCTTTTTAGGCTAGGCTTTTCATCTTCCTCATGGACTTTCGTCTCCGGGCAACATCTTTTGGATGGGATGAGAAAGGTAGCAGATCATTTTTTTGTGAGGCTTATGCCTTTGTTTCATCGATCTGCTGTGAATGTTGACTCACGTTTGTCGAGGTTATGGAGTCCGACACGATAGTTATATGCCTCAATGCCTCTTTTAGCAAGAGGGTTTTGCCTGAAATGGCCGATTTTTGGAGGCGTCTTTCCTTGGGCTTATATTTTTCTCCCCATGTGATCAGCCTTGGTTGCTCGCATCTGGGCTAATGCAGCTCGTCTTTCACGCGTATTCCTAGGTAGGGGATGTATGTATCTATGGTCGAGTTCGTTATAGCTTCTGGTTGAGGTTGTCCATGCTGACTTTCCATTGATGAAGGGTCAAAGAGATATGGCTGGCTCATGGGGATATGAGAGAGTTTGGCTTGAGTGAGCAAAATGTGGGGTTGGTCCTACTTGTTCCTTGCAGTCTTTTGGTGGGTGGTGAAGTTGGTGACCATATCCACACCCACCTCTCTTTCTGACGGAACAATCTCCTCGTTGTTTTGTGAGAAGTTGGTCATTGACCTAGAATATGCCTTAGCAGTTCTTGCATTGCAGTATTTTGTCGGGAGATGACCTTCATGTTTGCGGCGACAGTGGCCAATTCCCTAGAGAGCCTTGCTACTAGCCTGGGCCTGCTTCTTGAGCCACATCTTCGGTGGCAAACTACTAGAACAGGCAATGGTTCTTGGATTATTGGGGCGCTTTGTGAGGACGCTTCCTTATGAGGCATTCTCTAGTTCGCTTAGGTGTAATTTCTTCCTCTGTCAAACTCATGGCTATACCTTCTGACAGATAACCACTTTTTAGCTCTGTTCCTGGAATTGCTTTTCTTTACTTAAGGATTTAGCAAAGTTCCTTTTCAGTTGCCTCTTTCAGCACCTCGACCATGCCTCGTATCGTTCTTTTTCAAGAACGTTACCTTTTCTTTAAAGGCTTTACTCCACCTGGTCTTGTGGTTTGGAATGGTCGAGTTTTCACAGACGACGTCAATATTTTGACCTGCAAAAATGGCCAACAGGTGTCATTAGAAGATAGTGTATATGTAGACGTATTCTCGTAGTATATTAGTTATAAATACATATATTTGTGGATGAAGAAAATAAACGAATAAGAGATTCAATGGCTTGAAATGTATGGAGTAGTGTTTATTTTTGGGTAATTGTCACAAAACGTCCCTACCTTTCAAGTTTATTGTAGAAAACATCCATACCTTTCATTTTTTGGCACAAAACGTCCCTACCTCCCATTTTCTTGGCGCTGAACGTCATTTTCATCAAATTTTGACGATTTTACTCTCTATTCATATAAAACTAAAAGAAAAGAAAGAAAGAAAAAACAAACTAATTGCAACCACATTCCCAAATTTTCTGAAAATTGCAAATAGTAACTTGATAATTACCATATTAAATAAATTGAAAAAAAAATCAAAAAATTAAGGGAAAAAATTAAAAAAATGGGTTGTCTTCTTCACCACTTCCCACGCCGCCCTACTATTCATCTTCTTCTTCCCCCACCCCACCATACAAAATCTCTCTGTACAGGAAATCCTCCAAATTCGAAGCCCCATTACATCTCTCTGCACAACTGAACGGGATATAATTCATAAATCAAACTACATGCAGCTTTATAAAACTGAAAAACTGAATTACAAAGAAAGATTAAAAAATAAAATGAACTTACAATGTAAGAGAGTGCAATATCAAGGTCAATGGTGGAATCGTGACCATCATTCTGAAAACAGTCAACCTCTCCTTCTTCAAGTTCATTTTCTTTTATTTCTAACCCTAAACCTGACAAATTCCGCCCCCCGCCCCATCTATACTACCCACAGAAATCATCAAAACTGAAAAAGAACAATAATAGAAGATAAATAGCAAAAAAGTAAGCTATTAACAACCGTCGAAAGATGTAATGAGGCTTCGAATTTGGAGGATTTGCTGTGGAGAGAGATTTTGTATGGCGGGCTGGGGTGCATGGGGTCGGGTGTCGTGAAGAAAACAACCCCTTTTTTTAAAATTTTTTCAATTTATTTAATATTGTAATTATCAAGTTACTATTTGCAATTTTTAGAAAATTTGGGAATGTGGTTGCAATTAGTTTTTTTTTTCCTCTCTTTTATTTGAATGGACGGTAAAATCGTCAAAAATTGATGAAAATGACGTTTATCGCCAAGAAAGTGGAAGGTAGGGACGTTTTGTGCCAAAAAATGAAGGTACGGATGTTTTCCACAATACACTTGAAAGGTAGAGACGTTTGGTGCCAATCACCCTTTATGTTTCTCCCCAAAATATGAAAAAAATTAACATGCTCGTTCCTTATTCTTTTTCCCGGATTTTCTCCCCCTTTTCGCTCTTTCTATATATGTGTTGTTTCTTTTATTCCACACATATCCTTCTCTTTCTTTCTCAAAGGGGAGGGTATATATAGAGTTTGGGGAAGACGTGGTAACCGTTGGATTCAAACCACGTGCCCCTACTTTCTTCTTCCATACATCACATCATTCTTACACATTACATTGACAAATGGTCAACTGTCCTACATTTCTAGGCTGATATTCTTGACATAAGATATAGTAGACGTCTAATCAGTCTTTCACAAAGATATTTGTCAGGTCGGCAGATGTGATAGCCTCCTCGTTTCTTAGAACTTCAACATTGTCTTCTAGAACTTCAGCAGGTTGACCTCGTCTTTTAGAATCTTGACAGGTCGTGAACATGAGGACTTCGACGTAAACCCTTCGTCAGGGCTTAGGTATGTATTTTGTTAAGTGGCACCTTGGCTAGAACAAGGACTTTGGCTTCTGTTGCCTTTGTAACCTTGTTACTTTGTCTTTCATATGTTTTGGGCTAACTCTTCCGATGACATCAGTGGTGCTTCCACGTGTTGCTTTCTGATAGCTAACTTAAAACGAGGAGTAATAGAGATCTCACTTAGTTTAAAGGTGATTAGACAGACTTGTCCATAGATTTCACTACACAATCGGTGCAAGCACCTACTCTACATATTATTGAAAACATGGCTTCTCAAAATGAGATAGCATCTATACTTGATCATCAATTTGTTACAACCCATTAGAGCTGGCCCTAGAGCATAGCAACTAAGGCAATGGCCTAGGGCCTCCGAAGTTGGGGGGAAAATCCTACTTATATGGTATTTATTTAAATATTTAATGTTATTACACCTGTAGAAAATTATGTATAAGGGCCTAATAATGACTGCCTAGAGCCTCGAATTGTCAAGGCTGGTCCTGCAACCCATCGATGGGGATACTACAAGATATCGGTGCACTGGAAAAACCGTCCCAATTCAGAATCAATTTTGATGCAAGCCCCAGAACTCACACACTTATATCCAGAATTATTTGATTTCTATGTTCGTCAAAATTGTCAGAGTCAAATTCTTTGGGGAAGCCAGCAAATCAAGAAGTTGTCCCTTAAATTTGGTGCTCCACTGATGGACATAGGATAATTAGGATATGTATATTATTTCTTTCATAGTTTGTTATTGCTTTCCTATTTTGTTTCCAAGATTGTAGCTCATTCGGTAATTATTTAGAATGGCAGTTGCCACCTTAGACAATTTTTTTTTTTTTTTTCCCTTTTTTGAAATTTGGATAGATTTCAATTGCAGTGGGATCATGTGTTTTGTCTCCTCTTGGCTATCGACGTGATGTTGAACTAGGAGGCCTCGCACCCCTAACCAATTCGTAGAAATGGAAACTGTCTTGCCCATATACTTTCATCTTTAACCATCTTAGTTCGATCGTCTTCAATGGTGTTCTAAATTAGGTTTAAATTGTGATTTAGATTTCTAAAGTGGCCCCAAATCCTCTTCAATAGAGAGATGGAAAGGAAATGTAAAGTGCATTTTCTGGCAAAAATATTAAAAATAAAATAAAATAAAGAGATGTAAATTTACGTCATTTTTTAGATCTACCTTTGGGACGCACCAGAGGCAAAAACCTATCAACCCATTTACACTCAATTTTTTTTAGATCTTTTCATTTGAGCAGAATTTGAATTTAGATCCGTCAAAATGTAAATATGGATGCAAAAATAATTTTGGAGATGCTAATTTACATTCAATTTTACACTACCATTGAAAATGCTCTTCCATGCTTCGACTCGTATTTCCCAAAAAGTGGATCCCGCTATAATAGCTCTGAATAAATTAAATACATGCATTAAGATGCGAAGGCTTCTTATTCCACAACTGGGTGGATCGAATGTCTCGCTCTATTTTGCGCATTCTTCCTGCTAATATATTTTAATAAAAGTTACTTTGATTTTAAAAATAAAAATTATTTGAAGCATTTATCGTCAAGTTTAAAATTAAATTTTACATTTTCTTTTGTATAAATTTTTATTTCCCAATATCTTATCCTCAATGATTAGAACCTTCAGTAATGTGGGAACACAAAATCATATTGCATAATTCTCGCTGTGAGTCGTGTAAATTCAACCTTAGTCCATCCCACGTTTTTGTCTTCAAATCTCTCAAGTGAAAAGGAAAAAATTTTCTGACCACTTGAGCAAGAACGAGAGGATCTTTATCCTTATATATCTAAACATGTAAAACCCAATCTTCCTCTTAAGCGCAATCAACTTCACTGGAACTCACAAATATCAAGAATTCCTTCCTTGATCAAGACACAAAATTGACAGAGTCCCATAATGGTACGTTTGGTATCCAGTAGTTGACATGACTCAATAGCACTACAAAATTTTATTTTACATTTTACTTATTTTTGTTCTTTATTACTAGTATTACCCAATCCAACTTACTAAATATGTCATAAAGATTTCACGGCAGCGGCATTATTTGAGAATATTTGTTTTTGACATCTTTCAAAACAGAAGAAGAAACCTCCTGGTTGTTGGAGCTTGCAGTTGTAAGAGAAGCCTCAATATCTTTGCCATCTGAATCTGTATATTTGAGGTATTGATCTATGTCCTTAGTAGTAACTGAACTGCCAGCTCTTCTGTGGTACCATTTTCGGGATTTAGGCCTCCTCTCACTTATCGCTATGGCCATGTCGTTTGGGAAAAGGTTTCCGAGTACAAAGGCTTGAATTATGGTTGTCACGAGCAGTGCTGACACTGTAAGTGCAGAGACAGCACAAAGGACGACGGTTAAACTTTTAGTTACTGGATTCGTTACCTCGTTTGAGTATCTGATTGTGGCAATGGCAGCTCCAGTCATTGGGAAAGTATAAGCCCACCATGACAATGAAAACCTGAAGCCTCGGAAGAAATTAACACGAACGGCCTGGATAAGATAGAAGAAAAAGGAAAATTAGCTATACACGTTGAGCTGAGAAACAACCATGCAGGCTTGGTATGTACAACTGGACTGCATAATGAACAAGATTTTAACTTATTTTTCTCTTCTTTTTCTTCCTTAATATTGTCCAATGCATTCCAATCCTCTTTCCCAGATCCATATAAATACCAAGCTTTAGAGTTCGCAAAACTAACCAGTGAGAAATAAAGGAACAAAGCAACGAAGTAGGCAATTTGTGAGCCATAACTGAAGGAACCATGAATCCTAGCCCATGCCATGGAGGCAACACTAGGTGCAGCAACGAAGAGAAAGAATACTGGGTGGAGCTCCTTTGGAAGTGTCTCGTTTGTTGGAAGTCTCTGATAGAGAGTTACAAATAAGACAATGTAATGAGCCAATCCAACAGCAAAGAAAAAAATAGGTCCTTCTTTTAGCCCCATGGATGCACCAAGCAATGCACCGACGAAATTCCCAACAACAGAAAGATGATTCGAGGGGTTTGCCACCTTGGAAAGCCTCCGTTGTCCTCCAGACATCCACTGTCCATATATCTTAACCTCAAGGCAAAGAATCGGGGTCATAAGAACGTACCACAGAGATGGAGGAAGGTTTTCAGAAACGGATGGTGGAACTCCAAGAGCCAAGAACAAGAGGGCAATCCATGGAGCAAAGAAGAAGTTAACACGAATTGGATGGTAGTACTCACGACGAACGGCTTCAAAGTAGAAAATCACTTTCAAACCGTAAATTACAGAGACAATTGCCATAAGTGCAAGAGATATGCACCACAGAACTAGATTTATGTAGGGGCTGACTTGGAGAAACTCCGTAGAGGAAGAAGTACCAAGGGTTTTCCACATAATGGCTTGGCTGCCAACACCAAGACAGATACCAAAAGAAGAGACGGGAAAACGTAGAAGGAATGGCCATTGCTTGTCTTCAGGAAGAAGTATTTCTTCTGATGCCTGTAAATGAGAAACCAATCATTTAGTATTTCTTCCAGACCAGTACTAGTCTACTGCAAATGGTTTGCAAATGCGACCATTCAATTGTCAAATAATGATACATATCAAGTTAATAGACAACACATACCCGTAGGGTATCCAGTTCTGGTCCCTCCAAGGCATCAAAGTATCGGTCCACAGGTAGAGTTTCGACTTCTGCAGGTTTTGGAATCTCAGAATCTAGCTCAGATTCCCAAGGCATACCACGCAAATTTGATAACTGTCTCTCAAGTTTCCCAGACCATGTCTTGAAAGAGTCGTATCTATTATCCTTCAGTCTATCAATCACATGATTCCTTGGTGAGAGTTCTGTCCTTTTGGGAGACTTTCCACTGGGAAGGGCCACGTTAAATGGCGAACCTTTTGTCATTGGCTGAGAATAAAATCGTGTCTTTCTTCCCTGATCACTTTCCTCATGGAATGTGTCCTCAGAATTAGGAATATCAGTGCAGAAATTTTTTCCAAAGTTATCTCTGAAAAGAACCTTTTTTGTGTCCTGTAAATGAGCTTCAATTGGAGAAGATGGCAAGCTGGTAGAAACAGAACGCGTCCTCCTCTGCATCTCAGAAAAATCATTTTGTCCTTTCACATCAGCTTCTTCAATTACCTAAGATAATTAAATAAATAGTAATATATTAGTAAGGTGTGGAATTGCACATATAAACCAAAACAGACACACACATATCAATAGGTTAACTCATAGGTGAGTTACAGATTCATAGAAACTCAATGGGACTAGTACTCTGATTTCTGTAAATGCATTGGATTTGTTAGATAAGCATTTTTCCCATTCTGGATGACGAAAACAATAAATTATCGCAATTTTTAAGCCACGTTTAAACATAGGATTATGAACTTACTACAGATAAAGAGATGGGAGGATGGCCGTTTGATTTGAATCCATCATTCACATCATCAAGCTTCTTAATGCTATCAAAGACAGCAACCTTATCCGAAGCGATAGCTTTGATAAGTGATGGAAGAACTACGGGGGAATCTTCCATTGACACGTGGTTTTTTTTGTTATTTTCCATGACAAGGCAATAGAACCTGGAAATGTATATGATTCTGTCAGGAAGAATTCCAGACAATAAAACAACAGAATGCATAACTAGTTTGTCAAGAAATTTAAATATTGAGCTTCAAAATTTTATCAGTAATGGCTTCCAGAATATCTGAAGCCAAACATGAGGTAACACACACACAGTACCAAGAGAAATTAAACAATAAATCTGGGATTTTTTACCTAAGAAATTTCCTGCAAAGAAACCAAGACATGGAAAACATAAACAAGATTAAGGGGTGAACCATGTTCGTTTCCAACAAATATATGATTCCCATTAGCTATGACGCACTGATGTGTGTTCGAACTAACACCTGTTGGATAAGCCGACATGCAATTTTTCAAAAATGTACTAACATGATACGTCGCCGACACGTTGATTAAATTCTTCAAAATTTTTCATTTATATAGTATAAATTTAGTTTTATATTTGTTGTTAGTTTTTCTTGTTGAAATCTTTTAAATATGAGTATTTATTTGTTATTTACTGATAATTTTGAGTTCAAAGTACATATCATTTTGAATAAAATTTAAAATATTTATGATAGACTGTCCAAGAAATATCGGTATTGACAAGTGTCGGACATAAACACGCTACTCCAGTTGAAGTGTCTGCGCTACAGAGCTCATTAGTCGGGAATCAAAAGTGAAAACACAGGGATGGGACAATTACATCAGAGTTCAATTATTCAATCAACGATTCAGAATAAATGAAAGGTAAATAAATCTACAGTCTTTCTACTAGATAAATTAGACTGAATTCCTATCTTCGAAATATTCATGAAATTTCCATCTGAAAATTAGAACAGTTCAGCCAAGTTCGAACTTCATCAAATCTTATGACAAACTAGAACAACTCATAACATGATTCAATGCCATTATACCTTGCCACAATGCAAAATCCAAATTTCTTACCTCAAAGCTCCTCTTCTTGCTGATTGCTGAAAATGGGAAGCAAATCAGACCTTTAATGGAAAAAACAGTCCAAACTAGAAAAATCTTGCAGTTAGGAAAATCAGAGGCTCGAATTTGGACCGAGCACAATAAAAAAGTGTAATTTCTATTGAATGAATACTGGGATGAGAGTTTATGTTTTATAACTCCTCCCTGTTTTATAGAAAGATATTTATTTTGCAGCCTCAGGATGCAATAATACATATATATACTGATATTCTAAGAGAGAGAATGGTTTGGCTGATAGTAATGTTTGGTGAAAAAACTACAGGTTTAAATATTTTGTCATTGATTAGTTTTGTATTGGTTTGACTAAGATAATTCGAGAATCAAATCAACTGATGATTTAAAGCATCAAGAATGCAAAATGTCAATGAATAGACCTCTAACTTCAGATATGACTAGGATATAATTGCTTTAGATTAATTGACCGAGCAATGGATCGAATAGAGCAAAAAAAAGAGTAAAAATCGAGGCTGGATTTGTCATCGTGCTACAGATGGTCTGATGAGAGGAATGTAAGTGACTAACACAGCAGTTCCTCTAAGTGTTCCGGTCAGTGGAGCGACTTTGGGATCTTTCTTTTGTACATTCCAGGCGATCGGAAAATAAAGAAATTGTTAATATATTCAAAATAATTACGTATTTACAAAATACTGTTCCAATTCATCCTATTTCGTCAGATCCGAAGTGTGATGGGGTTCCGAAACTTATATATACACACAACAAATGAAAACACTTCAAATTAAAATTGTCCCATTTTAGCCTTAACTCAAAAAAGCTGACTCCTGACTGGCTACAAAAATAAAATTAAAAATTGTAATGCAAAACCCACACGTATAGTAAAATATATGTCTATATAAATAAATCTGTATATAATTCTAGAGAGGTAGAGAGTCCCCACATACAAAGATTGTCGATGATGGCACATTAATTTTTTCTCTTGACTTAAAAATCCAACTTGTGGGGGGCTCTACAGCTGAAAAATGAAAATTTTTCTGTTGCCCCTTGAACAAGTACGCTACTGGATTTAATGCAATTGACTCAAGATAAAAATATCCTTTCGAAGTTGAATACATTGAACAGAACTTAGCTTTCACAAATGATACGCAGATTGATGACATGAAAGAGAGAGAAAGAAGGAAAGAAAATGAAGTCAGTTAATATAATTCACATCATGAATGTGTACACAATGATGTACAAATAACATTACTCTATTATTACTGAAAAGTATAAACACTAACGTTTACACAAAAATTTGTCTTAATGAAAGTAATTATACTTTTAGGAACAATGTTATAAGTACAGATTTATTTATTTATTTTTTATTACAGAATTTGTATAGAAAAATAGTTGTCTTCTTGTAATTGGTTATTGCTAAAAATAGTTTTTAACAACAGCAAATCACAAGAAGACAGCTATCTTTCTGTACTAATTCTGTTAAAAATAATTTTACTTGTAGATTAATTGTATTTTAGTTAGACCGACCAAAGTTTTGTGTGGTTTTTTAATGAATTTAATCTTGACCTAATACCTAATTCCTAAAATTTGCTACTCCATGTTCATTGTTGCGCACGAGAAGTGTTCACACTTGAAGTAGGAAAAAGAAAAAGAGTGCGCTCTGAAATGTGATTCCATTGCCTTGTTGTTTTATTAGCTGCTGAGGAAATCAAGTTGGGTTCCAATCTGGTTATAAGGAAGAGACAAAAGAAAAAATAAAAAAATAAATAAGAAAGATTCAATAAATAACTCCAGCCCAGAATTATGAGTGCTACATTTGATGAGAGGATGGAAGTAATTGACACAGAAGCTCCTCCAAGTGTCCCGGTCGGTGGAGCGACTCTGGAATGTTTCTTTTGTCCATTCCAGGTGATCGGATAGTAAAGAAATGATTAATATATTTAAGATAATTACGTATTTACAAAATATTGTCCCAATTCATCTTATTTCATCAGATCCGGGGTGTGATAGGGTTCCAAAATATACACACACAAAACAAATGAAAACACTTCAAATTAAAATTGTCATATTCTTGCGTTACCTCTTAAAAGCCGACTGGCTACAAAAATAAATTAAAAATTGTAATGCAAAAAACACACGTGTAGAGAAATATATATTTATATAAATGAATCTGTATATATTTCTAGAGAGGTAGAGAGTCCCCACGTACAAAGATTGTCGATGATGGCACGTTAATTTTTTCTCTTGACTTAGCAATCCAACTTTTTTTTGGGGGGGAGGGGGGGGGGGGGGTTTTA